AATTTGCGATCTCCACTTGCAGAAATGTGGCTTTGCCTTGACATGGATGTAGGAACAGATCCGAATGGGCAGCACTCATCTTCCTCCTTCAGTTCCCTTTCTACAGTTTTCACACAGCTTTAGCCCATCAGAAGGGAGCACATACAAGGACACCCTAGTGCAGCTTAACTCAGCCAAGAGGCCAAGCTCTGAGCAGCTGAGCTGAGTGGAGACAGAGCCACAGTGTCATGAGCCCGCCACTGGGTGGTCCTAGGCAAGTTATCTGGCCTGATCGTTGCTCAACTGCAAAAAGGGATAAAGACAATACAATTTCATAATAAAACAGCCATCTTGGTGGCTCTACACTATTATGAGTGCGGCTATAGTAATTAGCTGTTCCCAAATTCTGGTGGCCACTGAAGTTTATCAATCATAGGGAGCGATCAGGAAAACTGTGTTCTTTGAAGTGACTTACTAAAAAGAAATAAATGAAAACTGTGGTGTCAGCAATGTAACTTAGTAAAACTGCTTTCTATTTTTCAAAAGTTTGGGCTTAATCTTCAGGCAAAATATCCTTGATTAAAACTCTGAAAAATGAACTAGTCTTACAATACCTAGATTCTTGGGCTACATGAGATGACAATCTGGGGTCAGCCCAAAGGCAGGGAAACGGGCCTGGGGCTGTAATTCCCATCCTGCACATTCTCTCCTTTGTCTTGATTTCTTTGAGGTGGGCAACACAAAAGAGATGGTGACTTCAATTTCTTGTGTAACTAGGGATATTATTTAGTAATGGGGGGTAAAAATATTAAATTGTCATAGATGTGCCATACATCAGGGCAGAGGCCTAAAATCCATTTTCCTTAATGTCATCATCTTATTCAATAATCTACTTCTAAACATTTATCTTCCTGAACAACAAAGAGTAGTAGCAGTGGATAAATAAAATGTGGCATATCCCCACAACGGAATATTATAAAACAGTATGTGTACGGTTGGACGGACCTTGAAAGTACTATGCTCAGTGAGAGAGAAGCCATCACCAAGGACCACAATGCACATGACTCCATTTACATGGACCATCCAGGAAGGCAAATCTACACACAACGTGGGTCAGTGGAGTGGGAGGTGAAGGGAAATGGGGAATGGTAGCCAGCGAGGACAGGGTTGCTTTTTGGACTGATAAAAATGTTCTAATGCCGATGACAATGATGGCTGCACAACTTCGTGAATACAATGAATTTAAATGGAGTTAGATCTTAATAAAGCCATTATTGAAAATAACACAGGAGTAACTGTAGTTATTGGGTGGTATTAAATGCCAGCCAATAACTCTCACACTGTAGATTATTTCATTTAAGTCTTATGAGAAGCCTACGCAGTAGGTACCTTTATTATCTGCATTTTACAGATAAGGAAACTCAGCTGCAGAGAGATCAGGTAACTGGGCTTAAGGATGTTTGGCCAGTAAACCAGACAGCCATGTTCTTAACTCCTACACGTGGACTCCAAGATGCAGGCTCAAGGAGAGGCCCTGCACTGCTGCTCCCAGCAGGACACTGGGCACAGCCTGAGTATCCACCAGTGGAGGTCTGCTTAAATACACACAGGTTTCTCATGCTTTGAAAAGAGTGAGGTATTCTGTACACACTGCTATAGAAGATGACTGCAAAAACAAGGTAAGCAAATACTGTGTCTTTTTTGTTCCCATTTTCTTTTCTTTTTTTATTACAAAAATCTACATATAAAAATATAAAAGTTAAAAAAAAGTAAGCGTACCAAAGTTTGACAATTTTCCATCATTTTTGATGAAAACCATTAACTGCCGTTTTCTCTGAGAAGTAGGTCTATGGTGGCAGGAACATCTCATTTTTAACTGAATACCTTTTGGAATCGTTTGATTGGATTTCACTTTTTAAAACCATGACATGATAGGGGCTATCCAGTCCTACTCCAGTTCCGAGGACGCCTTCTCTTCCTCACCCACCGCACACCCTCCTGAGCAGCACATGGCTACTCTGTTTTATTTAAACCTCCTGATGTTTCATGGCTCTGTCCCTGAGTAGCCTGTAAGCTTCCTGAGAAAGACACTGTGCTTGTTTCTGGAAGGAAGCAGCACCAGGCACATAAGAAGATTCTCTGCTGTGATCGATCACACCAGATGAGACAAATGAGTAAATATATCAAAGTCAAAGGCTTGACTTCAACTGCCAGCATCAAGGATGTAGCCAGCGATGGGTGGGACAGCAACGGTTTCCACCATGCTGGAAACCAAACCATGCTCCCACTAGGACTGAGAAGGTGGTGGCACAAGCAGCCTTGACTGGAACACAAGAAAATGATTTATTCCTTCAATTAAACACATTTACTTTCTTCTAGTCCCAGAGAATTTATAGAGCCATAATCCCTTCCATCTCTAATGCTTTTCATTATCTTTTCCTAATTAATTGAGGTACATAAATTCATTGATCTAAAACTTTGTAGGCATAAACATTACTCACGCAGTGATCCAGCCTCACATTGCTAGCAGATCAAGCTTAATCAGGTTCTACCGTTTTTTAAATTATACATGTTATTAGACAAGATTCATTTAATTTTGCATCTAACAGCTACAGCTTATTATACTGGCTGCTTCAAGATATTTATAGCAACTCACTGTCAAATCTGCACTACTAACTATCTCAGGATACAATTAATAAAATGGAATTAACTGATATAATAGTGGGCTTTGGCATGATATAAAATATGTTTTGCTGTGCTTTGGGGGAAAAAAAAGATTAAGAAAGGTATATCATCCAAGTAAAATTTCTAAAGTTGCTACCTTATAGATCAATATAAAATTTCTTCACAAGAGTATTTATGGATTATGACAGCAGTATTTCACCCAAGTTAACATCAAAAGAAAGTAAGAAGTAGTAAATTTTTTATATAAACCAAATAATATATATTGAACAAAACATACCACGGTTTTCCAATAAGCTATTTAGGAACTGGGCTGTGATATAGAATTTGAAACATGCAGGTGAATTTCTAAATTCTGAGGATTGAAAAATAATGTCCTCAGCATTTTCAGCATTTGAATGTTCCATTTTCCAACCTCTCATTTTTTTTTTCATGCCACATTCTGATCCCTTGACCAATTACCTGCTAATTGAACCCCTTTAGGATCATGCTCCTCTTTCAGGACTTCATTTAGTTGCAGAAAATGGGCCCAATAAGGAGGTGACATTTTAAACATGAGTGTGCAGAGCAAAAACAATGAGAAAAGGGAAGATGAGAACGTTCCGGGCAGCTAGTGCAGGCTTTGTCTAACCACTGTCTACACCAGGAGACGGCCTGCCAGGGGACTCTGCGACCTTCTGCAGAACCTGTTTACATGCTCCAGAAGACCCAAGAAAGGGCCGAGGAAGATGCCAGCTCTTCTCTGGCCCTACTTAGAGTGCTGGTCCAGCATCCCTGGTCAGACTGCCACAGGCTATCTGCCGAATGGCCTCTGTGGTTGTGGCCTGCTCTGAGGGAAAGTGTCTCAGGTGGGAGCAGAAAACGAGAGCATTTAAATCACAAGTCCCTTCCGCTCCCTGGTTCCTCAGAGGTCCTCACCCTTCTTTAGAGTCATGGATTCTCTATCAGTCACAGTTCTGCCGAGAACCAATAGGAGATAAGCAGATACAAAGAGGAGGTTAATGATGGAGCCCAA